ATAGTCTCTTTAAAATTATAGTTTTTTTGTGACTTTAGAAGAAATAGAGATTATTGAATATCCACTTTTTCTTTTAAGAAAAAAAATACGAGTTTTTTTTTAATTTGAAAATGTTAAGGGGTACACATGTTTTTGTTACATGGCTTGAGTCAGGGGTATGAGTGTGCTAATCACCCGAATAGTGTTCATTGTACCCGTTAGGTCGTTTTTTGCCCCAACCCCCTACTTGATTTCCATTGACTTTTACTTGCCTCTGTGCACTTGTGAGCCCATTGGTTAGTTCCATTTTATTAGAGAATAAATATGGTGTTTGTTTTTTTTTTCCATTCTTGGGAGACTTTGCTTAGGATAATGGTCTCCAATTCCTTCCAAATTTCTGCAAAAGGCATTAATTCATCCTTTTTATGGCTGAGTAGTACTCCATTGTATATGTATACTACATTTTGTTAATCTACTCATGAATGGATGAGCACTTGGGTTGTTTCCATATCTTTGCAATTGTGAATTGTGCTGCTATAAACATTTGAGTGCAGGTATCTTTTTGATAAAATGACTTCTTTTCCTTTGGGTAGATACTCAGTAGTGGGATTGCTGGATGGAATGGTAGGTCTACTTTTAGTTCTTTGAGAAATCTCCATACTGTTTCCATAGAGGTTGTACTAGGTTGCAGTCCCACCAACAGTGTATAAGTGTTCCTTTCTCTCTGCATCCGTGCCAGCATCTATTGTTTTTGGTCTTTTTAATAAAAGCCATTCTAACTGGGGTAAGGTGATATCTCACTGTGGTTTTAATTTGTATTTCCCTGATGATTAGTGACGTTGAGCATTTTTTCATACACTTTTTGGCCATTTATCTATACTTCTGTTCATGTCTTTTGCCCACCTTTTTTTGTTTTTTTTTTTGAGACACAGTGAGACTCTGTCACAGGGACTAGAGTGCAGTGGCATCAGCCTAGCTCACAGCAAACTCCTTGGCTCAAGCAGTACTCTTGCCTCAGCCTCTGGAGTAGCTGGGACTACAGGCACCCCCCACCATACCTGACTAATTTTTTCTATTTTTAGTAGAGATGGTCTGGAACTCCTGAGCTCAAGCAATCCTCCTGCCTTGGCCTCCCAGAGTAGTAGGATTACAGGCATGAGACACCATGCTCAGCCTTTTGCCCACTTTTTAATGAGATTATTTGTTTTTTTCAGAATCTCATTTTAAAATAGATGCCTGATAAGGTGGTATAACTAGCCACTCTGCTTTTTTTTTTTTTTTTTCCAGTCTTCCGGCTTGTCAACCTTTCTGCCTCAGAGTCTTTGTATTTTTCCTGCCTTTCACCTGAGTACTTTAACCTGGTTTTTTCTTCAGGTCTCAGTTTAAATGTTACTCCCCATGAGAGACCTTCCTGATTCACTGTCTAAAATCATGCTCTATCATATCATACTCCACTATGACACCTTTTTCTATCACAATCTGAATTTGTCTGCTTTAGTTGTTTGTCTTCTGTGTCGCTTCCGTTTCAAGGAATTTTGTCTGTCTTGTTCACTGCTGTTTGCTCAATGCCTGGCATACTGCACTTGTAATTGTTGACTGAATAAGTTAATATATTTTTTTTCTCAAGTCATAGTCAAATGGATTTAAGATAGACTAGAAATAGCATTAAGTGCTTTTTCTTTTTCTATGGTTGCACACAACAGCAGTATAATGGTGGTCAACACTTCATTTTTAGCATTTTTAGTATAGGTTATTAGCTATTGGCTTAGTATTTATTTTTCAACTAGTTTAAAAAAAAGAAAAAGAAAAGGAAACATTCCTACTGTTGACTTAGAAAGTAACCAAAAAGGCTTTCTTTCTAAATATTTTTGAATTTTTATTGTGAAAATGTTTCAACCCACAGAGAGAATAGTACATTGAATCCTCAAATACCCATACTCTAGGTTAAACAATTATCAGGATTTGGTCTCATATTAAAATTTATAGTCCTTGTTTCTTTCAGTTTTAGAAATGAGTTAAAAATTTTAGAGCATAACTATATATTAATATATATGAATAAAATATTTCGATTTTTCTCCATTACAGCTAGGAAACCATTCACTACAGAAGTTTCACAAGCTATACCAAAGTCTTCTCATCCGAACCAGGATTCTCAACAGGTACATTTTTTTTAACAGTATATTCTTTTATATTGATATGAATGTTCTATAATTTATAATAGAATTATGGTGATACTATAGTTATAGAGGTTCCCAAGCTATCTTGGTTCAAGACCCCTCTTGTATCTCTCAGCCAAAAGAAATATCTAACAGTTTCATTTATGAAGTTGTTAGTAATATTAAAACAACTTAATAAGTAATTATGTCCTACTAACTTAGTATTTTATTTTTAAAAAGCACAGTTACTAATGTGTACCCCTGTTGGGCACTGCACAACTTCTCAAACCTTGGTATGGATTGGATAACACTACCTCATTTCTTGTTCCACATTGATTTTTCTAATGATAATTGGTTTTTTATCATAACGATTTCTCAAAACCCAGCTTCAGAAAGATATGATGTCATGGAAAGAAAGGTAGTGAGATCTGATGTTGAAACTGAACTACCTTGAGTTTTTAGTTCATTCAGTGTCAGACAGATGTTGGGTGTCACTGTTGTTTCCTTAAATTTAAAACATCTTGTGGCGCCCCTGCAAGTTTACTGTGACACCCCAAAGTACCTTGTTGCACAGTTTGGGAACCATGGTAGTAACATCAAAAATAATAGTACTAATTAGGATGAACCGAAATTCTAGAATAAATCATCTAGATTAGTGTTTCTCAATGAGGATGCTGTTAACGCTTCTGGAGAGATAATTCTTTCATCACATGGCGCTGCTCTTTCTAGCAGGCATGTTTGCAAGAAAAGAAAGTGAAATGTTTCATTTGCCCCTGTTTTGTGTCTTATTTTATTTTCTATGTTACTGGTCCTTTTTTTTCTTTTAATAATCTTGTTTTTGTTCTTTTTAAAATACAGAAAACAGTGAAGAAAAAATAAAACTTACCCTACCTCCCAGAGATAATTATTAACATTTCCAGCTTATTTTATATGCCTAATTTTAAAAAATATAGTTAGATTGATATGTATAGATAGAGTCTTGCTCTGTCACCCAGGCTAGAGCACAGTGGTATGATCCTAACTCAATGCAGCCTCGAATTCCTGGGCTTAAGCAATTCTCTTGCCTCCGCTTCCCAAGTAGCTGGGACTGTCAGCATATGCCACTGCACCCAGCTAATTTAAAAAAATTTTTTTTGCAGAGACGGGGTCTCATTGTGTTGCCCAGGCTGGTCTTGAACTCCTGGCCTCAAGCATTTCTCCCAAAGTGCCTCCCAAAGTGCTGGGATTACAGGCATGAGCCACTGTGCCCTGTATGATGTATAAATAGTTTTATATCCTTTTGCCTTAATATCATATTGTATTATCTCACTTCATTAAAAACTCTTCTTAAACATACCTTTTAAAGGTTACTTACCGTTCCATCCCATGGATATCCTGTGCTTTGGGAGAAACAGCTCCCTATTTTGGACATTTTGATTATTTCCAGCATTTTGCTGGGGTTTTTTTTGCTTTGTTTTTTGAGACAGGGTTTTGCTCTATTGCTTGGGCTAGAGTGCAGTGGTGTCATCATAGCTCACTGCAACCTGGAACTCCTGGGCTCAAGCGATCCTCCTGCCTCACCTCCCAAGTAGCTGGGACTACAAGCACATTCCACCATGCCTGGCTAATTTTTCTATTTTTGTAGAGACAGAGTCTTGCTATGTTGCCCAGGCTGGTCTTGAATTCCTGACCTCAAGCAATCTTCCAGCCTTGGCCTCCCAAAATGCTAGGATTATAGACGTGAGCCATCACACCTGGCTACATTTTGCTATTATAAATAATACTTTAGTAAACGTTTTTGCGCATAAATCATTGTTTGCATTTTAAGTATTTCCTTAGATTTGATTGCCAGAAGTGGTACTGATCACTTGGAAGGCTAGGAACAACTTCCTTAGTTTCTTGATATTGTCAAATGTAAAAATCTTAATGTTTTACAATTAGAATATATATTTCACTTCATTTTTACTAGTATTGTTAAGGGCTTTTTAAATTCTTGCTAAGTGAAAACATTGTTTTATCAACATTTTGGTTTTTATTTCTTATTAGTGATGGCATTCTTGTATTTCTTATGTCTAATAGAAATTTATATT